GCCCAAGGAGATTAACCCAGTAGAATAAGCACTTGCCTGGCAAGTGCAGGGTCCTGAGTTCAATCCCCAGTACTGCAAAAAACAAAACAAAACAAAACAAAAAAAACTTTCTTTCACAATTTAGTATTACATATATGCCTCTTGTCTGGGCTGTAGACTTATCCTTGTTCTGAAGTTTTGTTTTGGTAAGTTATGAAAATAAGGTATTTTAAAACTTACAGTAAAAATTAATTTCATTTTGAAATGTTATAATGGTGATGACTTTTTTTATTTAACTTAATTTAATCTGATACATTAGAGGCGGTAATGTGCACCTATAATCCGAGGACTTGGGAGTTGAGGCTGGAAGACTGCCTGGAATTTGAGGCCAGCTGGAGTTATATAGTGAGCATAAGACCTGTCTGAAATATAACACGGTACAAGATCCTGTTTCAACACCCCCAAAAAAATTTATTCTGACATTGGATCACTAGTAATATGACAATCCCATGCAACAAGGTATTTGGTTCATTTCAAGCATGTTTTCCCTACAGACAGACAGGAATAACTACACTTCCAAGAAAACAAAAGGAATCTAAAAACTATTAATCACTATCATATTCAGTACCTGAAATTTGAAGAATTTTCTAAAGTACATCTTTTCTCCACCCTGAGTTGTATAACTCACAGCACATACCAAGCTGAAACAGAAAGATACCATAATGATTTCTAATCATTTTCAAGTTCATTTCTCAGTTGGAAAGACAGCACTTCAATTCCACTTACAAGTATGGAAAACATTTTTAATAATGATGTGAAACTTTAGCCAAATGAGACTAGAGCAAAAAGAGTTCCAGCAGATAGAGATATAAATACATGAAGATTTTGACTATACAGTTAAATATAAAGTAAGTTCATCTAAGGTAGAAAAATTAAAACTAAACCAATTAAAGATAGAAAACAAACTTGGATAAAATACTTATAACAATATGAAAAAAATCCAACTGTTAATATATAAAGGGATCTTACATGTTAATAAGCAAAATCATCACTCTTTCACACTGAGTGAAACAATACATATATGCATCACAGTTCCTTAACAAGCTAGCCAGGATGTGAAAAAGTTCAACTTCCTGAGTAGTCAAACACCTAAAATAATGAAATAATAATTTGGCAGGAATTCTTTATAAGTGCTATCAAGATTTGTGAAGGTTTAGAGAAACTGACTCTTTTACACTGCTAGTCCTTGTGTGAAACTTAGGATATAACCATTTTTGCACTGGCGAGATAGCTCAGTGGTCTAAAGTGCCTGCTTAGGCAAGCTCAGGCAAGGGCGCAGGGACTATGGTTCGATCCCCAGCACCACATGCAGTGCCAGCCCTGTCCCAGGTGAGATGAGCTGGCCACACACAAAATAAAAATAGCAACACATATTTTTACAGAACATCACTGTAAGTAAAACATAAGGAAATATTGAAGTATTCACTATTATATTATTTATAGCATGGAAAAACTAAAAATAATCCCAATGTTCAAAATTAGGTAAAAACAAAGTACACTGTACAAATGTGTAAGACGCATTCACCGAAAAAGTAATGTCTCAAATATTGACTGATTGGGGAAAATGCTCTGTGAATTGAAAAACGATAAAACAATTAGCAATGTCAACACAATTTTGTAAAATATTAAATTACATATATTGTACTTGTTATATATGTGCACATAAAAAGATTGGAAAGAAATATTAACATTTTAATAGTTATTTTACTAAGTGATAACATTATTAAGTAGTTCAGTTTCTCTTAGTACTAATCTAGGGAGGCTGGCAAGTATGTTGCTTTAAATATTACCTGTTCTCTAAGTGTTCAAAGTCAGGAGCACCACAGGTTTTGAAAATATATTCAAATTTGAAATCTATATTAGAAAATGAGCTGTAGAGTTCTATAAAAGTATCATCTCTGTGAAGTGGGGATTTTACACATTTATTACCATGTCAATAAATTCAACTTCAAAAAATAGTGACTACTGTTCTGTTATGTCCTGGGGACAAGGCAGAGTTCATAAATCTCACAATTGAACAGGGAAGGCAGCACTCAGTAAATAATTGGAATAACAAAAGATACAAACAAGTTAGTTGGAAGTACTAGGTGCAAAGGTTAGGAAAGCATCTTTGAGGAAGTTATGCTGGTCCTTAGGCAAAAAAAAAAAAAACAAAGCAAAGGCAAATGCAAATTATGTAAAATGCCACAGGCATTCTCCTGTATGGGAACACATTTCAAGCCATACAGTTTGGAGATAGCAAAAGTACAGTATAACTGCTGAGACAAAGGAAGTGTGAAAAAATGTTAGCAAGAATTACACTATAAGGAGGGCCCACCAGATAGTTCAGTGCAGTAAAATGCCTGCGCAGGGACAGGGGATCCATCCCCGAAACCACAGGCCATGTGGACCCTGTCTCCCCGCCCCATGAGAATAAGACTGGGCGTGGTGGCACATGTCTATAATCCCAGCACTTGGGAGGCTGAAAACAGGAGGATCACTAGGAGTCCTACCTGTGTAGTGAGACCCTGTATTAACTACACTAAAAAAAAAAAAAAAATTAGACTAAAAGGAGAGCTTTGAAAAATATACACACACCCAGAATTTGCAAAACGTAATGGGAGGTCTTTGAAGAGATAAGTGACTTACACATGATCATATAATAATGTCTCAGAAATCTGAACTGCATGAATGTTAACTCCAAAGTTCTGACCAATCATGATTACCTACAGCGGATCTCTGCACCAAAATTAACTAATCAAATAATTGCCTGTTATTTATACTTAATATAGTACCTATATTATATGCTTTAATGGTCACAGAGAACAAGAAAGTGGAAATGAAGCAAAGGGGTAATATATTTGTCTTTCAGAATCAAAGTTTGTTTCTTTTTTTTTTCCATAATTTTATTGAGAAACAAATAGCAATGAGACAGTTTCAAATCAAATTGGTAGGACAGTTTCAATAATTAACACATTGCATACATTCTTCCTAGTGGTTAATTGCTGTACAAGATGTAGACATGATATCCTATTTACAAACACCATTAGAACAAACCCCTCTATTCATTAAGAGAATGTAACTATATATCTATCCTATCCACTTTGAATACACAGATACAAAACGGACATTCATCTGTATCCCCTTTTTTTGTTAAGTTCCGTTATTTGAATATTATAGGTGTGTAAACTCAGCAAAATATTCTAAAGGAGTTCAGTAGTCCATAATAGTATTGGGTCTTCCGCTTGACTGACAATGTCAGAAATTGTTGACCTGAGTCCCCTACAGCTCAACATAACAGCATGGCTTTACTTCTTATATTTCATTTTTATACTTTTCTGCTGGATGGTTAAGACCAAGGTAATGGGTCTGATAAGGTCAGTCAAATCCCCTCAGGATTTATCCTGAGATCCTGTACCTCAGATTGTAGAACCTTTGTCAATGTCAGCCATGTGGATGAGTCACGGCTATTGCTTGGCCAAAGTTTGTTTCTGACAAACATAAAAATAAAAAATAAAATTCCTTTTGAAGTGAATTCTTGGGCATAAAGATAAGTAGACAACAAAAATGCAAGTGACAGTTGTAGTAGACAGAAGTAGCAAAATTAATCCTTACATGTGTGTTCCAATTTCCTTTACTTCGTGGTGTATAACATCATCAATGCAGCAATCCGGTTTAAGTTCAGCCACTGCAGCATTGGATGCTGAAAGATTTAAACGCTGGGAACTCGTCTGAAGATCAGCCTTTAAAGAAAGAAGGGAGGGACCCAAATAGGACCCGATATAATAGGGCATGGACTGGTATGAGTGGAAAAAATAGGGGAGGATAAGAACAAGGAAGCAGGAATGAAAGGGGAGCAAGGCTGCTTTGTAAACCTTTCTGTATGGTGCTGATGCTTAGCCCTTTGAGCATGGTACAAACCCTCCCTCCCAAAAATAATCAGGAAGAAATTACAGTGGACTGTCGACAGTTAATATGCAATCCTAGCTATTACTTTCAGGGATCATTTGTATAGTACATTGCTATTACAAATGAGAAATACCACTACAATACAGGGCAGAGGAGGAAAAAACACTTTAACCCAAGTAAATTTAGGAAATAAAATCAGACAGTAGCCACAGTCATTTTTTTCTTTTTGGTAGCATACTAAGATTTTCACTTACTTTTGAGACATAAATTTCCTTAAATACCAAAGGACACTTAAAAACTACATAAGCAATAAAAACATAGAATTTAAAACACAGCAAACCCCTGCCTGGTGGTGCATGCCTGTAACCCAGGCACTCAGAGGCTGAGGGAGGAAGATTGCTGTGTAACATAAAATAATGCGACGGCAATAAAACCAAACACATGAAATTTAATAATAATGTTATCTATTCTCATCAAGTGAATTTTCTTTGCAGCTACAAGATCCCATACATATCCTATGTCTTTCTGCTTGATTATCACGGCCTCCACTTTTTCTCTATCTCTTAACATTCTTTCAAGTTTCTCTTGTGTTTCCTCCTCTCCAATAAACCCGATGACAATCCCTTGTGACCTTTCTTCCTCTTTAAAATATTATGGTAACCACATATATAAACAAGAACTATTACTTCTGACTAGTCATTTTTTCAGCCAAGCTATCATAAACTTTGAGAATAAGGAAACATGTTCCAATGTAAGCACTTTGTGTCTGTGGGCATCTTTCATTAATTTCTACCAGTACCATGCCTTAGAAAAAAAAAAAAAAAGCAAACTAAAAAACATTGTAATGAAGTCTTTAAAAAACAAAATACATTCCAAACAAGAATATCACTTACTTTTACCAGTATATCTTTTACAACTTGATTACTGTCATTATGAACGCTGATATAACTAGAAAAGGTCTCTCCTAAAAATATGTTCCTGTGAAATAAAGTAAAATTGTAATCAGAAATTCACCAAGGTTGTATCATAAATATGGTGTGTGAACATTACTTAGTAACTTCAAGTGGAGAAAATGTACTAAAGGCTATGCATCCGGTGGGGTGCTGCTTCAGCGTACCTTTACTTGTAGGAGGCAGCTCATTTATTTACCTAACAAATTTCAAAGTAAGAAGGCATTTCAGATGTATAGCTGGGTAGGCTAGAAAATGACAAGTTTCCCTTTTAAAATCATTTATGCTTTGAATGTAAAGAGACCCAAACTGGTTCATCTTGGAGTATTTTTATCAATTTATTTTATTTTCTAACTTATTCTAGTAAAATGACCAGTGGCTTTGGTCTACATTGTTTTACCCTTGATGAATGAATAATTTTCAAGTTTTCACTAATTCACTTTGAGTATACTTTGAGTGTTTAAAAAAAAAAAAAACCTTTAAAGCTTTTTTCTGTCTCAAACTTTTTCAGTTGCAGAAGGAGTAGAACTAGGAGTTTGTATCTCAATAATAATCCGGAATAAGTGAACAGCTAAGAATAAGAAAAACAAAAAAATCTACAGTTCTTCATTAGCTGACAAATCTGATGGCTGTTGGGAGGGAGCTATGAGGCTCACTAAAGAGTTGCTTCTGAAAAAGACATAGGTATAATTAGTTAAAATAAAAGGCATATGTGGTCAATTAAAAAGATCTAAAGAAAGCTAAAATGCTGTCATTCTAGAAACCACTATTAACATTTCATTTTGATATGTGTCTCATTAAAAAAATATATAATCACATAATTTTTGTAACTTTTTAACTACTTAAACACATGTCATTTTTTCATTCTAAAGTTATTTTTTGAAACATGCTTTGCAATGGCTTTCATGTACTGTTGTGTGTCTTACGTGATTATTCTTCTTACCCAAAATTTTGGGGTAGAGTCAACATTTCTCCCAACATTAAAATTTCTGCACCATTTACTGTTGAAGGATCATCTCTCATTAGTTGGTTAAAAAGATCTCCTGTAATAAGAGAAAAACATAAAAGTCTAACATCTACATTTTAAATAATTTTCTTTACATAAAAATATAGCTGAGGTACAGCTTAGTGGTACCACTGTTATCTAGAATATACAAGGGTCTGGGTTTGATCTCCAGAACCTCCCCAAAGATATAGCTGGAAGAGATGCTGACACATTTTTATAATGTATAATGTCATTTTAATCTTTAATAAGAGCCTATCAAAAATTCTGATCACACAGAATGAACATTTCAGAAACAAAAATGTAGGCCATGAGATATACGATATACTATATAAGGCACCAATAATTCTAAGTAAAAGTTGGGCATGGTGGCACATGAGTTTAATCATACTACTTAAGAAGCTGAGGCAGGAATATCACGGTAGGCTTAAGGCCATGCTGGGCTATGCAGTGAGTTCAAGGCTGGGTTGAACTATGAGCACTCTGTCTCAAAAAGCAAAATATTCTAAGTATAAAAAGAATGCTATAGTAATGAAACAGCTAAGGATAAAGGCAGTATTTCAATAGTGTTATGAATATGATGTATCTTTTCTTAAAACAAAAGGCTCTTGGTAATACAGGCCATAAACATCTTTTTTTAAAATCAACATTATTTTGACTTATAGATTATAATGAGGCCAATTACTCAGATGATACAAAAGACAACCAAAGAATTTAACGAAGTATTAGCATAAGATTGAGAAGGCTAAGTTCATTGCAAGAAAATGTAGGCAACTCAAGTTTCAACTCTTCCCCAGACCCAAATACAGGAAGAACATGTCATACATACCAGGTAAATCTTTCTCTTCACATGTTACTGGAATATTGGTGAATAAAGTAGGCTTAGTCAACCGCATCACTATAAATTGAGAAAATAAAGAAACATAAAAAAACAGTAGTTTTGGGCTAATATTTTCAAGTCCAGTGTGTAGCAGTCATTAATTTCATACTAGTATAAAATATCTAAATATTAAATACTTCATAAAATTCTTACCCATGAAGGATTTATTAAAAACATTAATGTGTTGGGTGTCATGGTACATGCCTGTCATCCCAACTACTCCGGAAACTGAGTTGGAAGGAGAGTTTGAAGGAACTTAGTAAGACTATCTCAAAATTTTAAAGGCTACAGGTAGCAGTTTGGGAATGAAGCTCAGTGGTAGAATTGCCTAGGATGCAAGGGTCCTTGGGTTCAATCCCTAATACCACCAAAAAAAAAAAAAAAAAGAAAAAAAAAGAAAAAAAGAAAAAGAAAAAAGTTATTATGCATTTAAAATTTATAACCAAAGACATTAATTTTGCATTTTTTACAACTATAA